CAGAAGTAGAGAGGTGATTGTCCCCCTGTCACCAGCACAGGTTAGGCCACACCTTGAGTGTTGTGTCCAGTTTTGGGCACCTCAATTCCAGAGAGATATCAAGGTGCTGGAGAGAGTACAGAGGAGGGCAAGGAAGCTGGTGAAGGGCCTAGAGAAAAAATCTTATGAAGAACGTTTGAAGGAGCTGGGAATGTTTAGTTTGAGGAAGAGGAGGCTGAGGGGAGACCTCATCAGTCTCTACAACTACCTGAAAGGTCATTGTAGAGAGGTTGGTGCTGATCTCTTTTTACAGGTAGTTAGTGACAGAACAAGAGGGAATGGCTTCAAGCTGCAACAGGGCAGGTTTAGACTGGACACTAAGAAAAATGTTTTCATAGAAAGAGTGGTTAGATACTGGAATAAGCTGCCCAGGGAGGTGGTGGAGTCACCATCCCTGGATGTGTTTAAGGGTGATTTGGATGTGGTGTTGGTGGATCTGTTTTAGGGGAGAACTTTGTAGAGTAGGGGTGATGGTTGGACTCAGTGACCCCAAGGGTCTTTTCCAACCCAAATGGTTCTATGGTTCTATGTGAGGCTTGTGTGCAGTCAGAGCCCAGCCAGGGGTTGTGCACCAAGGATGGGAACACCTGAGCTGGCTGTGGGTGTGTATCAATATCTGTATCAATAATGCATGTGCAAATAATGCTCTGGAGAAAATGGACTTAATTTCAGTCCATATCTAAAAAGAGTTCAGTTTTGTACCTATACTCCTTGTGTCCAGCCTTTGTTTGTTGGTTCTGTTTCTTCAGATGTATCTGACTGAAACAAAACAGAAGACAGAGGGAATTAGGTAAAAAGAGAGTTTTATTTTTCCAAGCTCTCAAACCCTGTGATTGAGAGCTTGGATCTGTGAGCTTCAGATGCTGGGCCAATAAGATAGTCTTTATGTCTTCTGTCATATCTATAACCTTTATGCAATGTCCCATCTACAGTTTCTCAAATGGTGTGACAAGTTCTTGTTGAGCCAAGTAAATCAAGCCCCATTAACTGTAACCTAGTGCACAGGAAGACACCTGTAAGTGGACTCCAAAACTTAGGTTTCTCAGTCCATAAACTGAGTTTTTAAATACTGCAAACTCACATGTGTGTTTTATTTTTTATGCTTTATCCTCTATCCTTGCTACATTATAATATATATTTTGTATGTAAATGAAGTACAACACTACTGTATTTTTCCTTAGATATAGGTTAGTACTAGCCTTGTTCAGGAAGCCTATCTGCTACACATACCCATTGATATATTTTGCTTTTCTTTCAGCTGTGGCTTGGCTGGAGCAAGAGCAAAGGCAAAGTAGTTCAGCATTCAGCAGTAGCCATTGCAGATGTTTGAAATTATGACTAGTTGTAGCTTGGTCAGATTGCAGTAGATATTAGCAACATTTGTCTTTTCTCTCACTTCCTTGTTACTGTCTCTTTCCTCTCCTGCTTCTTCATTCATTTTTCTCTCTTTTTAGATTGATCTTATGTCTCTTCCTTTTCTGTAATCCACTTCCTTCTTTCAGTTCCCTGCTTCTCCTTTTTCTCTTTCCTTGCTTCTAAAATAATCAGTGTGCAGTTTAAAATAAATAAATAAATAAATAAATAAATAATTCCTGTACCTTCAGCATTTTCCCATAGTTGCATAGTGTAAACATAACAAACTGTTGTCTGTGGAATTCTTATTTTCTTTTTTTTTCTTCTATATTTTTTTTCTCCTATTTTGTTTTGTTTTTTCCTTCTTGTTCTGCTTGTTTCTGAAGAGCTATTATGCTAGTTCCTAGAAGCTTTGAGGTGATAACAGACATAGACAAGCACAATCTGTTCATGGTCAGTATGAATGCTTGGTGCTGCATTTGAAGCACACATGGGTTCAAACTTGTGATATGTGCAGAAAACACGAGTACAACCTGGTTTGAACACCTTTTTTTAGTATTATTATTATGAGCACAAGTATAAAGTTGCACCAACTTTTCACTGCTAAAGCCTGAACATGTCTCACTGTCTGTAAATCCTCCAAGACAGCAAATAATTATATGGAACACTAAATCAGAGGGACTACATAAAACATTATGTGTTTAAGAAAAAGATTCCTGAAGTTACTGCTCTGACCCTTGCCTCTTTCTTGGAGACTCACACTGATATCTGTTTGCTTAATACTGATGAATCACTACTGTCTCTCCCTCATCCATTTGAAAACATTTCACACATTTTCTGTGGTGATTAGTTCAAACACTTTTGCTATCCAATGAATAGGGCTTATCCTGAGTGCTTCTTAAGGTACTGTGAAAGACCATGTTTAGTGCATGAAAGTTGCATATCTCCTGCATAGCCAAAAAGGTTCAGAGTTGTAGTTCTTCAAGCTACTACAATTCTACTTGTAAAGTTTTCTGTACAAAATCTTAAGTAGCCCCAAGATCTCAGATATTACAAGTTCATTTTTATGCCTCAGAGTTTTTGAGCAGTGGTGCCAGAGTAAAGTGGCAGCAGATGTGCACGAACATGTTCCCTTTTTCATCATCTTTCATCTTCCTATTGTGTTGAAACCTTACCAGAGGAAATAGTTTCATGTGATATGACTTGTTCACATCTAACTGTATTCCAGGAGAAGGTTACTCACACTGATGGGTTAAATTTTGCTGATGAGACTGAGTGACTATAAACAACACCCATACAAGCTCACATGCTGAACTGCCACGACATTACTGGTGAATAAACCTAAGCAGAGACCAAAAACTCTGTCTCTACTTTTCTCTGTAGTACTTAAATGTTCCTTATCATTAAAATAATGATTGGTACTTAATAGCCAACTTGTAATTCTGCTGTTAAGAATAGTGTCATGGGCAAGATACATGGGGGGACGGGGTGTGTTCATGTACTCTTATTTTGTCTATTTGCATAACTGGTGGAAAGGTCTTCTCAAAACAGCAGTATCCATGTGTTGCCTGTAGATGGTTAGAGAAAGCAGCTCCATGACCTCTCACCACAATATATTGTGTGTGGTGGGTTTGCTGGGAAGTATAAATTGTCCTGGTTATGTGTCAGGCACAAGTTTGATATTCATATGTAAAGACTTAGACGTCTCTTGCATAAAATATCTGAGTGTGGTCTGGTTTTCTTTCTGTAGTCAATGAAAAGAAACACACATTTCTCAAGTGCAATTTGGCCTGTTTGATACAGCTAAATCAGGATGAGATGAGTCATGCCTTAGGAATATTTATTTTCTCTTAGCAGAAATTGAGTCTCGATGGCTGGAACAGATGCAGACATCTGCATTGTCACTGTCTAAATACAAACAGATAAAATCCATCCATTATATATGTCTTGGAGTAAAAAAAAACCAAAAAAAAACAAACAAGCAAACAAAAAACACCCTTAGAGTTTTGCATGTACCATCTCTAAGCACAACTGAGCTGGCACCAGTAAAAATACAAGTAAAAAAAATGATGAAAGAATCTTGACAATGGGCAAACAATGTAAGTTTCCTATGTTTAGAGTTTACTACTGGTGTCTGAGGTAGCTACATTACCAACGGTGTAAGATGTCTACATGTTCACCAGCTGTACTTTTAGGTGCAGTTGTTACCTGCATTTATCGCTCCAGTTATAATCTCCAAGTCCTATCGTGTCCCAGCATCCCTAGTGTAGCACCACGCAGCACTGGTCTTTGATCAGGACAGATTAATTTACTGTTCAGCTCTAAACTGTAC